ATGAATCAAGAGTTATCTGTATGTGTGTGAAAAATCTAGTTTTATTCATATACGAGGGCACAGTAATATATTCAGCTCGGTTTATTTAATTTACAAGTTTGTTGTTCTGTCTACATCTGAAGGATTTGCCATGCAGACTAGAGATGCCTCATTATGCGTGGTAACATCTATAATTACATTCTAACAATAAAACTTTTTTTTACAATCCATTCTTGTGAATTTATATAACAATTTACATCAATTTGCAAATCGTTAACAAGCCATTCACATGATAAATATCTTTGTTGCAGATATAGTCTTATAAATCATAGATTTTAGCTAATGCAGGGTTAGCCATAATCAGGAATGAAAATGACCGGTAAAGAAAAACACTGAAACCCCCCCCCCCCCCGAGGCGGGGGAGGGTGTGGGATTTTGCCTCTCCTTTATCGGTGTCTCTTTCGACAATGTCTTTGTGCTTTATTTTTTGGCCAGAAAATGCCATGATTTCTGCATAGAATACATGTACGTCCACGCACAAGAACCAGCGTGCAACCCAGGGTACACTAAAAGGTCACCTCTGGCTAGACTGGTTAGCGGCCGCACTGTTTGTCGCAGAGCGTGAGGCCGGATACCAGTCTACCCTTCGGCAAAACAATAAAGCCCGGCGCACATGTGAGTTATTTTACTCAAGTAAAATGACGCACGAGTCGAGTAAAATAACTCACGTGTGCGCCGGGCTTAAGGTGGCTTGCTGCCAGCCGCAGTAGACGATCGATAAACCGTGTGCCAGTACATATGCCCGTGGTATAATACGAATGCTGCACGTGAACTCGGAAAAAAACGGAAAACGCGGAAACAATTCTGGGATCGGGGGAAAAAGCGGAAATCCGTTGAAACACGGAAAATTTTCATGCCTGCATAATTCTACAGAACTTGCATAACACGAGTCTAATTTTAAAAGGGGTGAAACATGACATCGACTACTGAGGGGTGTACACAACAATTATTCATAACTGTTGGTTACCATGTGCTCTCTTGACTGGCATTCAGTCGCAAAGCCAGAAACTAGTGAAGAGATAGCGTGCAATACTAGCAAGTACAATCCAGCTGATATTTAACTCCCAGTTACTTAATATAACTTTAATTGGTAAAGCACAATTACAATTCAAGAAACATTTATCATCAGGCATCTGCATTAAGTTGTCTGCCACTGAGTAGAATTTTTTCTCCAGGCTTGAATGCAGGCATGCCGAGGTATGGACAGCTGGCACACCGGAATGCATCGCCCAAGTAGCACTGAAAAATATACATGGTATATTATAGAACATATATGATATATTATATATATATATAATTGCAACAGCAGTACTGGCAGGGATGTGTTCCTGACTCCGGGAGATCACCATCAAAGCATGTACACCATGTCCTAAAAGCTCAGATGATATCAGGATAAAATACAATATCATATGTATCAATTGAGTTATGTGAAAGGGATGCTCCCTGCCCTTATACTCCAGTACTCCCTCAGCAGCGGTTTTTCAATAAACTCGTGGCAGTACAGTTTCAATGCTTTATACACTGATCGCTGGCACACAATGGTGGACAATACAGAATCTCAGCTTGTAGGCTTCACAGGCCCGTAGCCAGCTTTATATTGGGGGGGGGGGGTTCGTTTTTCAATGTTGGCAATTTGCTCGGCAGGGGCGTGTACAGGATTTGTACCAGGGGTAGTCTA